GTGTGTGTGTGTGTGTGTGTGTGTGTGTGTGTGTGTGTGTGTGTGTGCGCGCGCGCGCGCGCGCGCCTGTCCTGCATCTGGGAGCATCCGGGTCCTTCTGCGTTCTCTCCCTCTTAAACCCCTTCTCTCTGTCTCCGTCTTAAACCCCCTCATGCTTTAATGGGGTTTTTATTCCTTAGACTGGTGATGGAACCTAAAGATCTCGAACCTCCAGTTCAGAAAACAGAAATGTGACTTCTGTCGCTCTCCGAGAAGTGGTTGGCTACTTGCCTCCGAACACTCTAAAAAGACTTCTTCCACCGGCTCTCACTACCCCTGGCCTCCACCCCCAACCTGCAGACAGTGGTCCCCAAAGGCCTGGGAAGAAGAACCACAGAGGGCCTGTCGCCTGCAAATCAACTTGTTTTGAGGATACAGTGGATTTAAGTTTCAACTGCAGAATCATTCCCTATTGTAAAAATCAAAAGAAAACGCACTCTCCCCGATTTATTTTTTCCAGATTCCAGTCTGGTAAACAAATCCATGCTCTGAAATATATCGTTCTTACAGAGGGAAAAAAAAGGGGGGGGGGAGTTTCCTTTTAATTAAAAACAAACTCTTCCCGCGCGCAGGCCCAGCGCTGGCCCTTCTTCCCCCTGGACCTCTCCCAAGCTGCCAGGATGCTGAACGGACCCTAGAACTCTTGGGGGAAATTGTGTCCGGTCGAATTTTCACCCCTTAAGCGCGGCAGCCAGCTCTCCCCTGGTACCGCTGGGATCTCCCTTCAGTGGAAGTTGTTTCTCTTCAGAAGGGGGCATCAATATTAGTAATCATATGGCCTATGTGGCCTGCTCCCCGCCTTTTCTTCCCAGCCTTCTGAGTAGGGATCTGTTTGCGGGGGAAATCTCGGAGGTCTCCCAAGCCGCCACCCTGAGGACCAGCCGCTCACCCAGTGCTCCATAAAACACCAAGAATGTCTGGCTTGTAAATATTTCAGAGCAGGCTCCCAAAGGCCACGGCGGGTAATTGGGAAGATTTTATGGCCCGTACGGCCCCGCGGGAAGACACTGACGGTCGCGCCTCCGGGAGAAGTTAATGGACCCAGTACCTGAGGGCACGGTGTTCCGATCACAGACGGCGTCCTTGAGTAATTTGTCTCTGATTTCCCAGCTGAACATCCCAGGGTTCTCCCTTTTGTACTCCTCGATTTTCTTCTCCACATCAGGCGTTGTCACCTGCTTTAAGATAATAGGCGGGTGGTGCGTTGGTACCCAGTATCCGGGGCCACGCGTGGTGCCTCTACCTCATGGCTTTTCCGCTGCTCTTTCCTGTATTCCCTGGGAAGGTCCCTCTGCTTAAGCCAAAGGACAGTTTAGAAAGGAGCTGACAGGAAATTATCCCTCTCGGGGCAGCCTGAAGACCCTCCACCTGCCCAGAGATACTCGGGGAGGGACCGGATCAAATGAACAAAAATTAAATCAGCTTGGAGGTGAGGGCCATACTTTCTGATCCCTAGAAACCCTCACCGAATCCACACAAAAACGAAACCAAAAGGAGAGTGCTTGAAAGAGTGGCAGAAACATCAAATTAGGTGGGTTCCGAAGAAATCAGATCTGACCAAAGAACGGATTTGGATGAGATTTTAAATATGTATCTAGGTTCTCCGGTTACTGTTGCTGTCATAGTGTTTTTAATTAGACAAACGTAGATAATTTGAAAGAATAACTCTTTCACCCACTTAAGTAAAACCGCCTCCTAGGATTCTCAGGTTAGAAATAAAATGGGCAGGGAGAGGGACCTGTTTGGGGGTCTTCAGGGTACCATAGCCCATTTGATTTTTGCCCCCCAGGCAAGTAGAAAAGCCTTCTGGTTTCTCTTCATCACCAAAGGTGAGGGCAGACCCTGTGAATCTCCACCTCCCACTCTCTAGCCAGCAACACTTTCCTGCTTTTTAAGAGAAAACTAAAATAAGTTGAGGATCTCACCAAATTTCTTTTCTTTTCTTTTCAAATGGAGTCAAGAGGCTTATTATAAAGAAAAGTAATAGCCCTGACTCTTGACTTCCTGAAAACAATTTGCAAGGGGGTGGGGGTGGGGATAGATTCAAAGCTGGGAAAGAAACTATTCAAGAAGGAAACCTGGATTTCTTTATTTCATTTCTTTTCTTTTCTTTTCTTTTTTTCTTTCTTTCTTTCTCTCTTTCTCTTTCTTTCTTTCTTTTTTTCTTTCTTTCTTTCTGTTTTTAAGCTTCGTTCTACCGGAGGCAATGCAGTGAGTGGGGGCTGGGAACTCGGCAACGGCTGGGCTTGCTTTAGGTGTTTATTAAAATAATTTGAGGGGGTTTCCAAGCCTCCCAGGCGTTAAAAAACTAACATTTATCTTCCTTTGCCGAAGAAGAAGAAGAAGAAGAAGAAGAAGAAGAAGAAGAAGAAGAAGA